CCTGCTGAAATCCAGAAAGGCTTTTCACTGCTGTGTCAGGACTCTGATGAGATGAGGGCCCCTGCAGAGCTCTTCTCCCCGCAGCCCGTTGCGTACGAATGGAGAGCTCCTGAGTCGTCATCTCGCTGTGGACTGCTGGAGGGTTTGCTGATGGCCACATCTGTGGGGTTGTACAACGTTTTTGCAGTAAACGGAGCTTGGGCAGCTCTGTCTGTTTTGATTCCTTCCTTCTGGTGGGTGCTGTTGCGATGTAGTTTAATTTAGGGATTTAATTTAAGGACTTGAGTGACTCATTTGGGGAAGAAGTCGTTCTCTGTGGGGCAAGATGGTGATACAGCTGCTGAGTGGTGGGACCTGGCTGAGGAGACTGAGGAGAGCGGCTGGATCCTGTTTCTGCTTTTCTCTCTCACAAAAACTTATCAAAAGGCAGAAGAGATTTGCAGTAAAAAGAGCTGAGGGCTGTTTGGAGCTCCATTCCCAATTGCTAATGGATCTTGTTCTTTACCAGGGATTGTGCATCCCCAAATCCAACGGTTCCCTTCCTCTTTTAGCAGATCTGAGGAGAACAGCCAGGATGCCACATCGCACCATTCATCTCTTCCGGAAGGGACTTCGGCTTCATGACAACCCAACACTGCTGGCCGCGCTGGAGTCCTCGGAGGTCGTCTACCCTGTCTACGTCCTGGACAGAAAGTTCATGACATCCGTGATGCACATAGGGGCCCTGCGGTGGCATTTTCTGCTGCAGTCCCTGGAGGATCTCCAGAAAAACCTGTGTCAGCTGGGCTCTTGCTTGCTGGTTATTCAAGGAGAGTATGAGTCTGTTCTTAGAGACCATATCCAGAAGTGGAAAATCACACAAGTGACTCTGGATGCGGAGATGGAACCGTTTTACAAGGAAATGGAGGCCAACATACGACGTCTGGGGGAAGAGCTGGGCTTTGAGGTGCTTTCCCTGGTGGGCCACAGTCTGTACGATACCAAACGGTACGAGATTGCCCTGGAGACCAGTGAGGGGTCTCCAGGAAGGTTTATTTTAGATTTAGCAAGCATCAGGGAGAAAAGGCCAAGTATCTTGGTCTTTTTGGATCCTGATGTGTTCCCTTTGGGAAAATTGGACTATCTGAGGTGAACGTGGTGCTGTTTGCTGGAGAATTTTTGTGTGTTGGTCTTCTGGAAGTAACAGAAGAGATTTTGCAGGGGTGTTAGGATGTTGGGCTGTGATTTGAGCCTAAAGGGTTTGTTAATTTTTCTCCCTTTTGGCATTTTAATTCACTTCAAAGCTTATATCAGCTACTCTTTTAAACAGAGCGGAAGAAATTCTTTAACACATTTAATAGGATTTTCTATAGTTTTTGTGTCAGATTTTTTTTATATCTTTATAATCAACTTTCCCTGGTGTCTGGATACACTTGGATCCAGAGCTGAATGACTGAAGATATTGTAATTAATAATCATAGGGAGGTGATCAGTAATAGCTAAACCAGGCTTAACGCTGATTCTGGAAGGCCCCCAGCTGACATCAATGAATGGATGTGTGCCGCTTGCTGTCTTGAATTCAAGCTGTCTGTTTGCACAGGTGGTTGCTCACATAGAAGAGTTATTTATTGCCCTGAAGCTGCGTTTTTTTGGTGATCAGACTGCCTCTGGCAGCCACAGAGGTGTCGTACACCTTGCACTCTGCCATCCTGGCTATGTCTGGCTGTACAGAGCTGCCCAGTTGAAGCTGTGGCTGGCATTTTGGTCCCAAGTTTGTTGTCTCAGGTCCCGAGAGACTGCTCTTGGGATGGATGTGTGTTCACCCAGGGAAGTTTTACTTGTAAAATCTGTAATTTCCACATTCAGTGGCATGAACGGGGGCTGTTCTGGCCTCTGCTGTCACCTTCCTACCCCCTGGCGGCTCCAGCTTCCTTCTTGGTTTATGTTATGGTGAAAAGTGATCTTGTTTCACTTAGGGTTTTGGACCTGAACGGTGGGACTCCCCCGTTAACATACAAGAGGTTCCTTCACATTCTGTCTCTGCTGGGCGATCCTGAGGTGCCTGTCCGAAACCTTACGGCCGAAGACTTCCAGTAAGTACCACCTAGACAGCAGGAAATGGCAGGTCCTTTTTCTCTGCCCAAAAGAAGAGCCAGGGCCATGGCATATTTTAGATCATGGAATCACAGAATCATTTGGGTTGGAAAAGCCCTTTAAGCTCCCCCAGCCCAACCATTCCCCTACCCCTGCCATCCCACCCCCAAACCCTGGCCCTAAGCACTGCGTCTGCCCGGCTGTTAAATCCCCCCAGGGGTGGGGACTCGCCCCCTTCCCTGGGCAGCCCATTCCAGAGCCTGCAGTCAGGCATTTCTTAATCTACAAACAGTCTGTCCATTGGGCTACGATCAGCAAGTATGTTGGGTTTTGTTGTTTTGGGGTTTTTTTTAAGAGACTGTTTAGCTTTTCCAAATGCAAGCTGATGGAGACACGATCGACTTGCTTGTGCTTTCTGAGGGAGAGCAAAGTTTAGCTAAAATTTTCACAAGTACCATCAGACAACTATTTAGGTTCTCGCATCCATTAAAAATGAACAGGCTTTGAATTCCGCTAGGCAGATGCTTAGCTTGGGGTTAATGAAAAATCATAGTGAGTTTACTACCTCACCAGAATTCAATATTTTTGAGAACAGAAGAAATCTCCAAGAGGAGCAGAGTGAGTGAACACATGTACTCACATATCCCTCAGAACAAGGTAGGCGTTTGTCTTCAGGGAGCGGGCAGCACTTAGTACCAACAGCTGTCATTTTCTTTCCAATTTCAATCAAGGTATCTGTTGATACTTGAGGCATTTTCTTAGTGTAGCGGATCAGAATTCTGAAAAAGTCACATCAAAATGACTGTTTGCTCACGCTTTAAGAATATATAAGTAAATATAAATAAATGTGCCCAAAGCAGCCAGCGTCATTGCTTACACTCAAGAATATTTATCAGAAAGTACTCACGCTTTAAGAAAGTCTTGCTCGCCATGGGAAGTGAGAAAATCACAGTTTGTCTTTACAACCTCCTGACTTTCTTGGATATGTTTTTGCAATTCATCGTGCTGCAAGCAAGTATAAATTTATTACACATTTATTTTACCAGGACATCCTGGTAACAGTCATACAAATACACCTTTTGACCTCTTCTAAATCTTATTAGCTATAAGATACCCATTTTGCAAGTCCGATCACTTCTGTATAGCCTGGATGGCGTAGGGAGGATTTGATTCTCATGTGGGTCTTAAGTTCTGACAGAAATTGGCAGCCCCTTCCAGCCCCTGACAGCCCTGTGGGGAAAAAATGTTACGTTGCATTACGTCTGTGCATGGAGGGTTATCGATTGTATGTACAGGGGACGTGATTCTGCTATTAGGAGGGGAGAGCAGATGAGAGGGGGCACAGTCCAAAGACTTAAGCTTTAGCAAGGCAGATTGAGACAGACTTTTAAGGTATGTAAGAGTTTAACAGGGGAATGGCTAAGGAATTACAGGTCGGTCTCTCAAAGGCGTGCTCTAGCTTCGTCACAAATCAAGATTCAACGCAGGAGTTGGATGGACCACTGTAGTTTGTTTTATGTGGGAAATTCAGTGGAATAATCCTACTGTTCCCTTCTGGCTTTAAATCTTTCTCTCCTCCCCTCTGCTGTATGGGAAGGAGAGACCAAGCTCATGTCTCCCAGGACTTGTGAAGAAGCTCAGAGTCAGGGATGTCTTACGAGGAGAGGTCCGTGATCCAAAGGGAGGTACGATTGGGGTAGGAGAGAGCTGGCCACTGGGGATGGGACTGCAGATATCTGGGACTTGTGTCAGGCTTCACCTGTGTGACCTCAGCTCTGTGTCAGTAACCCAGGCTTAGGTCTTCCCATCTTAGGGGAATCCCATTAATTCCTGAATTATGTCCTCTAACAGTCTGATGATAAGACCCATGTAAGTATTGGGATATATCGGTTCCTATGGTTTTTCTTGCACTGTTTTTTTTTTTTTTCCCCTTTTTTCCCTAATTTGTTTATTTGCACTTTTTAAATTAATGATGATGTGAGATAAGTGGTTCACATGCTTCCCAGCAGGCCTGTGTTATGTCAGTGCTCTGAGAGCTGCACTGGCCCCTTCTTCTGTAGGTGTCTGCAACAGAGCTGAGCTCAGGTTCTTCCAGGTAAGTGGCAAGATCTCTATTGCTATCTGAGTTCATTTGTGGGTTTTGAGAAGTCTGCATACCACTGACCCTTCCTTGAACCTCCTCCTCTGTGTTTTACAGGGGGAAGAAAACCCCTGCCCTGATGCTTTTCCAGCCTCGGAGGGGGCAGAGGCCTCGGGAAGCCTCAGCAGCTGAGGCTGCGGAAGAGATGTGGGGGGACAGAGGCATGGGCTTGGGGAGCCCCCACCTTGGTTAGGGAGGAGCAGCTGGGGAGGCGGCCCAGGGACCTGCTCTGCCTCCTTCCCTATGGAACCTTTCCCAGAGCGACCGCACCTCGGAGGCACGGGAGCCGGAGTTGCCTTTGGAGGCCATGACCCATAATTATGTTTAGTGGCAGTGCCCCATAATTACATTCAGAGCCTGGGGATGCTCTGAGCTCCCTCCCAGGGACGGAGGAGACAGTGGGGGGAGGCTGGGGAGGAGGTGCCTCCCAGCCTTACATGGCGGATGGGAGGTGAGAGGGGTGCTGAGCTGTGGGGGCTGCAGCTGGCCCCTCCGAGCGCTGTGATTTGGTGGGTCTGCTCCTCTTCCCCCAATTCAGGCTAGAACTACCTGGAGCGATTACAGGACGAGCTCTTTCTTCCCCAGGGAGAGTGCAGCCAGGGGTTTCTGGCTGAGCCTTCGTTCCCCCGTGCTCTGGCTGTGCCGCGACAGAGGAGACCTTGGCGTGTGCGATGGGCACGGGTCTTCCTCCCTCTTCTGGCTCCGGTTCCTTCTTTGACAGGGGTCTCTCTTTCACATTAGGAGATGTAGCCCCCCTGACCCGGGCCTGGCTGAGCATTATGGGGTGCCTCTCCCTGTGGATTTGAAGATCTCCCCGGAGAGCCTTTCCCCCTGGAGAGGAGGGGAGACCGAAGGGCTCCAGCGCCTGGAGCAACACTTGACTGACCAGGTCAGCCTTGATTTTACGTAAGTGATGATGGAGGCTCTCAATGGGCTGAGGCTAATGTCCACCTTGCTCCTTTAATGCATGGTTGTGTCTGGACCTCAAGAAACTGCTCAGCTGTCCCAGCTCTAGCTGAGTTTCTCCCCGCCGAGGCTGAGCTCTTGGCAGCCAAGCCTGCCTTGGTGCTGGCTGCTTTGAAGCAGATACTTCACCCCTTCCCGATTTCATAAAGTGGAAAAGATCTTCAGTGCAGTGCTGTTGGGCCAAGAGTGCTGTTCCCCATGTTACAAAATCACCTGGCTCTCTGGGGAAGGCAGAGCTTCACAGCACCCACGGGGGAGACATGGCCTTGATGTTGGGCTTGGAGGGGGTCTGTGTATTTGGAGATCTTGGAGGAGGACGGCAGCCTGGTCTCAAGATGTCGTTGCCCTTGATGGTGGCATTTGTGGGCGGATGGGTGGTGGGAGCATCTTCCAGGCATGGCACTGAACAAGCCTCTGTGATGCAGAAACCAATTGCCAAGAGTTTTTTCCCCGTTTCGTTAGCTGGACATGCGTCTCCTCACACTGCCTGAACCTGGATTTCTGTTTCCATTTTAGGGCTGGGTGGCAAGTTTTACTAAACCGAGAACAATCCCAAATTCGCTGCTTCCAAGCACCACGGGCCTGAGCCCCTATTTCAGTATGGGCTGTCTGTCAGTTCGCACCTTTTTTTATAGGTTGTCAAACATTTATGCTCAGGTAAGAAAATAATTGGTCATAGTGAAGCAAATCCAGTGCTCTCACATGTCTGGCACGTGGGGCTAGGATTTAATACTTGGATCATCACCTGGTGCATCAAAAAACGCTACTTTGCTAACGTCTTCTCACAGCATCCTGTGAAATCTGTGAGTGGCTTTATCTGTTGTGTGAATGTGTACAGCTTCTCCCAGCTACGTTTTAGAAATATGATAAATAGGGAGCAATGAGGGATGCAGCAGGGAAGCCCAGGAAAACCCTCCTAAAATTCAAGGAGTTCAAGATGTCTGCCTGGTGCTTGAGTGAAGTTTTTGATCGGTTTAGGCTGTTAAAGCAGTTTTGTTTGCAAAAATCATCTGTTTTCACCTCAGATAAGTTTTAACCATAGCATAAGCCCAAACCAACTTCTGAAAACTTGTTTGATTCTGTCGTGGTTTAATCCTGGCCGGCAACATAGCCCCACACAGCCGCTCGCTCACTCCCCCTCCCAGTGGGATGGGGGAGAGAATTGGAAGGGTAAAAGTGAGAAAACTCATGGGTTGAGATAAAGACAGTTTAATAAAACAGCAGAGGAAAATAATGGTGATTATGATAATAACAATAATGATAATGGAATATGCAAACCAAGTGATGCACAGTGCAATTGCTCACCACCCACCGCCCAATGCCCAGCCCATCCCCAAGCAGCAATCGCCGCTCCCTAGCCAGCTCCCCCCAGTTTCTATACTGGGCATGATGCCCTATGGTCTGGAATAGCCCTGGGGCCAGTTGGGGTCGGTCGTCCTGGCTGTGCCCCCTCCCAGCTCCTTGTGCCCCTGGAGCTGAAAAGTCCCTGCCTGGTGTAAGCACAGCTTAGCAACAACAGAACCATCCGTGTGTTACCAACATTCTTCTCATCCTAAACCCAAACCATGGTGCTATGCCAGCTACTGGGAGGAAAATTAACTCTGTCCCAGCCAAAACCAGGACAGGGGATCTGCAAGGGGATGCTGGGGCTGGTGGGCTGGGTGCTGCATGAGGCTGGAGTGGTTTGGGAGACCCAGGTGGTCCGTGGGCCTTGGGGAGCTTGATCTACGACCCTTGGCTGTTTAGCTTGGGCAGGCACAATCAATCAACACGTGTTTGGCTGTGGGAGGCTTTAATCATTGGGCTGGGGACTGGGGAGGTAACCACGGCTGGATGGGGTGCGTGAGGAGGCCCTTGCATGGGACAAGGAGAGATGCAGCCATAAGAAAAAGGATGGTTGAAACCAACCCGAGAAAACCAAGGTCTCCCTGATCTCCTTCGTAAGAGTATCTCTTGAGACATGGCTGAGCCACCTGAATTCAGCTAGTCAAGCAGTTAATATGTTAATAAACACATTTGGTTTAGGCAATCCTAGTGTGGCAGCATTTTGGAAGGTGGACAGAGAATGTTTGAGGTAACACTGAGGACTAACAGAGTTCAGCTTTGCTTTTGGGCATGTAGCATTGCTTCAGATATTTGATTTCTTGGGCTTTCATGGTAAAATGCCACAGAGCCAGTAGTGTAGTTAGATTAATCTTTATTTTATGGGCCTGACAGTCACAAAATGAGTGAGACTGCAGTGGTATATATGAACTGAAGCTTTCACCTCATCTTGTCTTTTGCAGGCCAAGCATCACTCTCTGCCCCCAGTGTCACTCCAAGGGCAGCTTCTGTGGAGGGAATTCTTCTACACGGTGGCATCAGCAACACCAAACTTCACCAAAATGGCTGGGAACCCCATCTGCCTTCAGATCAGTTGGTACGAGGATGCAGAGAGGCTCCACAAATGGAAAACGGTAACAAGATGCATTGCCACAGCTGCTAGGTTTCAGTTTAGATTTTTTCCATTTCCTTGGGATTGGTCCCTGCCAGCTGTTTGAGTGGGAAAGCAGTGTTACGAAGCTTCATGCAGGAGGGCTGATGGTTCTTTCCTGCTGCAGGCACAGACGGGGTTCCCGTGGATCGATGCGATTATGACCCAGCTGCGCCAGGAAGGCTGGATCCATCACCTTGCTCGGCACGCTGTCGCCTGCTTCCTGACACGGGGGGACCTGTGGATCAGCTGGGAAGAGGGCATGAAGGTTCACTTCTGGTTTTTTGGTTTTCCTTGCTCTGGCTGACGTTGAGGAACACCTGCAAAACACGAGCCTTGGCAGTGGGCGGTGGGACCGTAGAGCAGCGCTTCATTACTGACCCTCACTAGAAATCTCACGGTTTACAAAATCTCACAGTTCATGAAATCTCACGGTCTCTCGCTCAAGTCTGAGCTTGCCGTGCTGGGTGCAGCAGTGAGAGGTCCCCAAGGCTGATGATTTTGGATGATGAGGATATTTGAGACCTGCTCAGTCTGCAGCAAGCCTCAAAGCCAGCCCTTTGGGCTTGGGGTTGCTCTATCACTGGGTCCTGCTCTAGCTTCCTTCTGGCAAACTGTCTTGCTGGAGAGCCTTCCCTGTGTGCCCTGTGAGCAGGGTAGCCCAGACCAGCACAGTGCCAAGCTCCACCCTTCATCTCCCAGCCTGTTTGGTTATTTTTTTGCCATGAGGACAGCCATTTCAGGTGCCTCTCTCTTTCTCTTCCCATCCCTGAAGCGCAGGTGTTTGAAGAGCTGCTTCTAGATGCTGACTACAGCATCAACGCAGGGAACTGGATGTGGCTGTCGGCCAGCGCGTTCTTCCACCAGTACACACGCATCTTCTGCCCCGTCCGCTTCGGGAAGCGCACGGACCCCGAGGGGCAGTACATCCGGTAGGGCGATGCACAGCACGGCGCCGCCTGCTCCGTCGGCGCTGCCCTGGCTCCTCTTACAGGAGCTGAGGAGCTCGGTCTGTTTGAAACACGCACCCCTGTGAAACTGGGGTCATGGTAATGATTTTATTTAACACATAAGGAAACTGAGGCACAGAGGAGCAAAGGCTCCCATGGCTGCACAGCTGATGACTGAGCAGGGCTCTGTGTTGATCTGTGAGCACCCGTTGGCCCCAGCACCATGTTTGATCACCGGGTTGACTCCCCTTTCTAAAGGATTTGTCTAAAACTTCCCACAGCTCCCCCCCTGCTCCACTCTGCGCTGTGTTTTTTTGGGTTTGTAGGCAGTCTGATTCCTTTCAGATGCTTAAGTTTAATTTCCCACTCGGCGTGAGTCCTCTTTGCTTCAGAGTCTCGATTTCCTTATCTCTAGATAAGGTACTGAGGGGCTTTCTCCTAAGCAGTGGGGGATTTTACAGCTGACTGCAGTAGGAACAGGCTGTGGTGGTGTTGGAGCAAGCAACTCCATTTCCTCACATCTCCTCTTCCTCACGCCCTGTCCGACTTTGTGTCTTGCCAAGGGGGAGCCCATACCTGACAGCGTGGGGCAGAAAATGACTTTTCTGTTCTCTAAGAATTTTTTTAGATTTTAAAAAATTTGCTTGGTTTTGAAATGTATTGAGTTTTAGGGTGAAATGTCAGTGAATGTGTTAAACCCCCAAATATTTTAGATGAAGTAAAAACTGAAGTGATGTTTAAATCCACCCCTTTATTCCTTGCTGTAAAGTTAACTTTCGGAAGCTGTCACCCTGCGGAGGGCTTCAGAACATGAAAACAGGTTTTGTGCAAAATGAATCAGGACTTTCCTATGGATTACGGTATCAACACGATCACCGAGAATTGATATGGCACAGGGTGGTTTACACATCTCTTAAATGTATAAGCATTTGTCCACAGGATTGTAAACCCCCATATTATTCCTGTTTTGTAGGAAATACTTGCCTGTACTAAAGAACTTCCCTTCTAAGTATATCTACGAGCCCTGGACGGCATCTGATGAGGAGCAAAAGCAAGCAGGGTGTATCATAGGTAATTCATTCGGATGCCTTGCTAAGGATTTTGGTGCTGCTAACCTTCCACAATGATTACGTTCGTGAGATGGGAGCATTGCCTTCCAACGCAGGCCATGCATTTATCTGCTGAAAATGGATTAATCCAGCAGCCCACCTTCTGTCAGTTCTCCTTTAAAGTTTTTTACTGGAGTCTAATTTCAGAGTACGTGTTTTTGCCTCAACTTCATGTCCTAAAACTTAGATCACTCAAAGTTGTTGCCTTTGCATTTATCTGTCCCAGATGCTTGGCTGTCTTTAAATAGTAGCTGAACATCTTGTGCTTTTACGCTTGCTCTAATGCATCTTTGAAGTTTCTTATAAGCTTATGTCTAAATGGGAGCTCTTGCTCTTTGATGGAGAGAAACGGGCACTTCTGCAGAGTGGGGTCATGTGGTCTGTCTTCGATGCCTTTTATTTTAAGAAATGCTGCAAGCATTTGCCCTGGTGCAAATCCAGTGAAACGTCCTTGATGAGTTCTGTAAAGGCTGCTGTCTCCATGTTGCACCAGGTCAGGATTACCCCTTCCCAATGGTGAACCACAAGGAAGCCAGCGATCACAACCTGCAGCTGATGAAACAGGTCCGAGAGGAACAGTCCCGAACAGCCCAGCTCACCAGGGGTAAGCGGTGCTGCAGCCCCAGATGTTCAGTGGGCTGCGATGTAGAGGCTGCCACCAGCTTTGGGGGTTGGTTTTGTGTTGATTTCCAGGACGCCTTTCCTCTTGGTTACCAACACCGTGTGCTGCTCTTCTAGTTACTGTGAAAATGGGAAACCAGAGGTTGAGCGGTGCCCTTCCGGCTGCTCTCGCAGGATGGGAGCTTGCTTGTGCCTGCTGGGGGAATGCCTTCCCCAAAGCAGACCTCCTCTACCTCCGGTAGGTCTGCACAGACTCCCCAGCCTCCAGGCTTGCGAGGTGTCTCTCCAAGGTGCAGAAATCTCTGCAGCTCTGCCCACGCCTCTTGTGAACCACAGCATTGTGGTTTGTCCTTTTTACCATAGAATCATAGAATGGTTTGGGTGGGAAGGGACCCCTAGAGGTCACCCAGCCCAACCCCCCTGCAGGAGCACATCAGGCTGCTCACAGCCCCGTCCAACCTGGCCTGGAATGTTCCTAGGGATGGGGCCTCCACCCCCTCTCCGGGCAACCCCTGCCACTGTTTCACCACCCTCAGTGTAAAGAATTTCTTCCTTATCTCCAGTCTAAACCTACCCTGGTTTAGTTTAAAACCATCACCCCATTACCATGATCTGCCCTGCCCTGTAGTAGGAATTACTTGAGATTCCCACTGACCACAAATTAGCAAAAAGCCCTTGAGAGCTGAGTTGCTCTACGAAATTTACCTTTTGACCTTGTTTTCTAAGTAGGTTAAGCACATGCCTAACAAACCAGTAGTTATCAGATAAGGCTGGAACACTCAAACTTTGGGCTAGCCTGAATTAATTTGGTGTTTCCAATCACAGAGATATTCCACTTACATGGCACCTGTGCTCTTAAAATGGAAATCCCAGGGCCTGTGATGAGCTTGTAGCCTCAGAGGAATCCTCTGCAGGAGGGAAAGTGAAGCGATGCTTTTGTATTTAACGGTGTATGCGATAGCAGCCCCCGTCCATATTACAGAAATCCAACTGCAGCAGCCGAGAGGAGTCTTCAGCATTCCTACCTCAGTTGCTATGGTCAGAAGGAATTGATTGTTCCCAGTCCTGTGCATATGAATGTATCCAGGAGGTTGCACATCGGTACCTTCCGGATATAACCAATGTATGCTGAGAGTTCTTCCATAAACCCTTTGGTATAGGGGAGTAAATGTTTTGATTGCTCTTAGGAGATATGGAATGCCAAAATCTGAGAACAGGAGTCTCCTACTCCCAGCACTGAATCATAGAATCCCAGGTTGGAAGGGACCTCCAGGATCATCTGGCCCAACCTTCCTAGGCAAGAGCCCAGCCTAGACAAGACGGCCCAGCACCCTGTACAGCTGAGGCTTCAAAGTGCCCAATGTGGTGGAGCCAACCCCTCCCCTGGGGAGATTATTCCAATGGGTGACTGTTCCCATGGGGAAAAATTTCCCTCTCGTGTCCAGTCAGAATCTCCCCAAGAGCAACTTGTGTCCATCCCCCCTTGTCCTCTCCATGGGACTCCTTGGGAAAAGGGAGTCTCCATCTTCCCTGTAGCTCCCCCTTAGGTACTGGGACGTGGTGATGAGATCCCCTCTGAGCCTCCTTTGCTCCAGGCTGAACAAACCCAGCTCTCCCAGCCCATCCCCATACGGCTGAGAGAGGCTTCCCAGCCCTTGGATCCCCTTGGTGGCCCTGCTCTGGACCCCTCCAGCCTGCCCACAGCTTTTTTGTGTAGTGACATACATATACAATATACACATTGTTCTTGTTGCCTCTGACTAGAAGCGTCTTCTGGCACCTCTGTAACCTCACCCGCTGTGGGCTGTTGCACTGAAGTCAGAGAAGGACTCGCAAACTTGAATTTTTCCCTTCTTGCCGTAGATGATGCAGATGACCCCATGGAAATGAAGGTAAAGCATGGCCACGCTGAAGAAAACGGATCAAAAGGAAAAGTGGCCAGGATGACAGAACAAACTGAGATCCCATCAGGGATCTCCCCAAATGGCAAAAGGGGAGAGCCAGAGGCCAGCTGAACTGGACAAGCTGTACTCGCTGCTTTGCCCCACAGGTGGTGCCTCTTGTTTGTGAACTGACCTCCAGGGAAAGCGTTGCATCTCGAATGTGTTTGTGAGCGCAGTTGTTTTGAATGCAATTGCCTATCAAGCTGGTTGCTGTAGCTGCTGGGTAAATTCAGGCGGTGACCGGTTTTGACAGGGCCCGACGCCGTGGTGGTGTTCAAACCCTCTTGATGTCCATGCATCTGTACGAATAGTTCTAGAGAGAAATCCTGTTCTTTCCAACATGCCAGGTAATGCCAGTCGAAGAACATACGGACATTAATGTGATCGCACACTAGCGTTAAAAGCTTGATTCGCCTGTCTCATAAAGAGGCAGAGGTTTAGGGGTTTTCAGGTATGTTTTTTACGTTCATGGTTTGTGCTTGCGGTCCCCGGCACAGCAGAATGCAGTCCGTTGTGAGGTTGTGTGTAGTCCTTATGACTTAAATGGCACTTCTTATGCATTTTAAGGGCAACATTGCAAAATGTCTTGCTGAATTAGGGCTGACGTACAACTTTCTTCACCATAACTCTCCTTCTTGGCTAATTCCTCTAGAACTGTAGGGTAGATACTGTTTCTACCATGTACCCCATGTAAAAATTGAAGTGTGGATTAGTCCAGAAAGGCTGGATTAGTCAATTATCTTTGTTATGGGTGGGGTTTTGGTGGGTGCAGGGGGGTTGGAGTGGGTTTTTAATCACTGTAAGGTACTATTTTTGGCTTTAAAAGAAATAAAAATGATTTCTGACATGAAAAATGTAAGGTCTGTAGAGCAATCTGTCATCGCAGTCGGCATCCATCTGTCCTCTTTGGAAACCTGGCTGCAAGACAACTCCAGCAGCAATCCAGTCTAGCCAAACTCCTTCACCTTGAAAGCATCCGTGGACCTAGCGCAGAAGCAGCATGGGACCCACGTGCACCAGGAGGAGGCCAAACACTGCTCCTAGCAGCATCTTCCAGTGCTGTCCTGGCAGGGCCTGTCGGGGAAGCGCACGCCGGCAGCAGGGCGGCACTGCCTTCTGCTTCTGCAGTAAATACAAATGCTGCGAGGAGTGTCCGACCAAGGGGAGGGGCTGGTTGTACCCTCCCGCTGCGCCAGGCCCACATTACAGAATCACAGAATCACAGAATCATAAGGCACCCCAGCTCCTGCAGGTGCTGGTGTTACTCTGGTTTTGCTCTTCAGCAAACCGGATGGTTTGCAAGGATGACCTGAAGGAAAGCGGTGTGGTTTAACCGGCCGGGCAGCCGAACACCCCCCAGCCGCTCGCTCACTCCCCCGCCTCACTGGGATGGGGGAGAGAATGGGAAAAAAGGTAAAATCCGTGGGTTGAGATAAAGACAGTTTAATGAAACAGCAGAGGAAAATAATAATAATAATAATA